TCTGTCCTCTACGTGTCCCGTCTGTCCCCTACATGTCCCGTCTGTCCTCTACGTGTCCCGTCTGTCCTCTACATGTCCCGTCTGTCCCCTACTTGTCCCTGCATGTCCTCTTCTTCATGTTTAGGCAGTGTTTCCCTTCATTTCACGATCCAGCAGTTGAATCTGTTTTTTCAGTCGAATTGAACTAAAACTTAATTTCCTGCCTTCATTTAAAATTCTAGTAAACGACCGACTCCGTTTTTCATTCCAGGTTTATTCTCATGGGTTTATTCTCATGGGTTTATTCTCATGGGTTTATTCTCATGGGTTTATTCTCATGGGTTTATTCTCATGAGTTTATTCTCATGGGTTTATTCTCATGGGTTTATTCTCATGGGTTTATTCTCATGAGAAGCTTCCAGCTGTTGGTTCGGTGGCTCAGCGTAACGTTAACGATGGAACGTATTCAAATGAAAAGTCTAAGCTTGATTTAAATCATCTCCACTGCTGACGAGTACGATCTGTGGGTTGTTGTTGTTTCGTACCAGATTATTTTATTTCTATTAACGTTTATTCTCATCCCTTTTCTTTTTATTTCTCCTGAGGACCAAAACGTATTTCTGATGACTCCACTCTCAGATTTGTTTTCAGTGTCTATAATCAATGATGCTATGAAATATTTATATTTGAAAAGAAAACTATATATAAATATATATAAATACAATTTTAATTTAACAAATTAAAAATGTTTATGTAATTTTGGGATATATTAAGAGTTTTATGTTGAAACTGCTGTTCACGACTCGCCGTCACCTTCTGGTGTTTGCCGAGTCGTCCGACGTGTGGCCTCCAAGTTAAAGTGCTTCAGTTCGCTACTCGTACGTCTTAAACGGTGCACATGGAAGGATGCATGAAATTAAGTGTTTACGAACTTGAATCAACCGTGTATTAAGGATCTTTGTGTTTTACCACCGCGCTGAACAAAACCGCTTCTCCATTTTCATCTGCTCGAGCCGCTCGAGTTCTGTCCTTCCTGTTTCACCATGAAACTCCCGCTTGTCTGCGTGCCGCAGGAATTCATCTGAATCCAAGCTAACTCCAGGCCTCCAGTCGCCACACCTCCATCCATCCATCCATCCATCCATCTATCCATCCATCCATCCATCCATCCATCCATCCATCTATCCATCCATCCATCCATCCATCTCCTGGTGGAGTTGAAGTATTTTCTCATCGTAGGCGATTTTTGTACAGTTTAATAAACAAAAATTCACATGGATGTTTGAATTAATCTGCTGCCACCAACACTTTACACTGTACATACAGTATATATAGATATTATTGTGCAATGAAAAATAAATGTCAAATGCACCAAAACAAGTCTCGTCCTGTGTTTTGCCTCAGAAGTAACGGTTAGTTGTTTCTTAAACGTCATATTTAAAGATGCTTGAGCGCGGCATGGTCCTTGAATGGGGAGGCTGCAGATGTGTAGATGATAAATAAATTGCTCAGGATGTGTATTCAGCGGCCAGCTGCAGTACCTCGGTGGTCAGCATTTCTGTCCTGAGGTTTGAACCCAGGTTGCATCAGGAAAGGCTCCCGGTGTAAAATAATTGCCACTTCATCGGGTACACCAGGGTGTCCAGACTTCTTCAGCCTGTGAGCTACTTTTAAAATGACCACGTCAAAGTGATCGACCTGCTGTAAGGCTCTGTTTACACAGAACATCTGGAAATGTTAGCGTTTTTTCAATGTTTATTGGAGGTGGTAAACAAAATGAGCTGTTTTACACAAAAACACTATAGTTTCCATGTGGAAGTCAGGTTGCCAGATAAACTATGAACTATAGTACTGTGGCTTTAAAATTATAGTATTTTGACATAAACTGTCATATGTGCTGAGTTAAGATATTCTAAGAGGAGGTGTGTTTGTTGATGTGCACAGAAAATGAGGTGGTAAATAAGAAACATTTTAAATGTATATATATGTCAACCCTGAGCAGAGCTCAGCTGCATTCGTCGTGCATGCAGCATCTGCATGACAGTTGGTCCAAACTGATGAAAACACTAATGGAGTCTGGATTTTATTAGTTTTGCTCCTACACGCTGATAAGTGTGAGCAGCACAAAAACACTCTGCAAAGTGCCACATCCACCACTAGGGGGTGCAAAGTGCCACATCCA